GGTAGAGATGAGGTCTCGCCAAATTGCCCAGGCAGGTCTCGAACCCGTGGGCTCAGGCAATCCACTCACCTCAGCCTCCCAAAGGCGTGGGATTTCAGGCTGAGCCACTGAGCCCAGTTAGCAAATACTTTAAAAATAATTATTTAATTAAATATATGAGCCGGGCGCGGTGGCTCAAGCCTGTAATCCCAGCACTTTGGGAGGCCGAGGTAAGTGGATTGCCTGAGCCCATGGGTTCGAGATTAGCCCGGGCAACTTGGCAAGACTTCGTCTCTACAATAAATAAAAAAAACTAGCGTGTGCCTGTAGTTCCGAAGGCTGAGGCGGAAAGATCACCAGAGCCCAGTGGGGCAACGCTGGGGTGGCCGTGAGAGTGTCACTGCTCTCCAGCCAGGGCAACGGAGTGAGACTCCAACTCAAAAAAAAAAAAAAAGTGATATGTGGCTGAGAATGATGGCTCATGACTGTGATTGCAGCACTTTGGGAGGCAAAGGTGGGAGGACTGCCTGAACCTAGGAGTTTGAGATTAGCCTGGGCAATAAAGTGAGACTTCATCTCTACAAAAAATAAAAAAATTAGCTGGGCATAGTGGTGTATGCCTGTAGTCCTAGCTACTCAGGAGGCTGAGGCAGGAGGATCTATTGAGCCCAGGAGGTCGAGGCTGCAGTGAGCCTTGATTATGCCATTGTACTCCAGTCTGGGGAGCAGAGTGAGATCTCAACTCAAAAAAAAAAAAAAAAAAAATTTAGCGTGCGATATCAGGGAAGGCTTCTCCACGGAAGTGACGTGTAAACTGAGACAATGACAAGGAGAGATTCGCTGGGCACAGGAGGGTAGAGTGTTCCAAGCAGAGATGTAAAACAGCTGCTTCCAAGTCTAAGAGCTCCAGATGTCAACATTATACTTCATCTTCTTAAAATGTCAAGACACAAAGAGATTGAACTTTGAAAGCATTGTCCTAAGTGAAAGAAGTCAGTCACAAATGACCACATATTACATATGATTCCATTGACATAAAGTATCCTGAATTGGCAAATCTATAGAGACAGAAAGTGCATCAGTGGTTGCTTAGGGATAGAGGAGTTGAGAGAGAATGGGAAGAGACTGCTCATAAAGTTGAAGTTTTTGTGAGGAGGTAATAAAAATGTGCTAAACCTGACTGTGGTGATGGTTTCCAACTCTGTGAATATACTAAAAACCACTGTACACTTTAAATGGGTAAACTGCATATGTGAATTTTAGTGAATAAATAATAAAGTCATTAAAAAAAAGAAACAAAGGGAGCAACACACTTCACAGTCACTGTTCTTACCTCTCTATGTTTTTGAAGATATTGCACTTATCATCTCCCATGGTCAGCTGGAAGGCCAAGGTCGCATGGTGGCTCTCCAGCACAGCAAGGTCATTGTACAGGATGGCCAGTGTATTTCCAGCATTACACAAGAAGGAGTTGGTTCTCCCAGGGTGATCCACATCATGAATGGTGGCTGCAATGAGCGCAGCGACTTCATCAATCGGATCTAAAGTTTCCTGAAAACAAGAAAGCTTTTGAAAACTGGGGCATGACACTGAAGGCAAGGAAGCTTTGTGTAGTTTCTCTCCTATTACTTCAAAATAAGAATATTCCAGATTTCTAAAAGCACACTGTGTGAGCAAAGCCAGTTTTCCTGTTTCCACTCTGAAACAGTTCTATCTCTGCATATGTTCATCAGGAAACACAATCTGCTTCTAGAGTTGCACACAAGTTAAGGACTTGCCAAAATTCAGGATGTCCTCAACAGACAGAAGTCATCCCCTCAGTCAGTCTTTGTCTAGACCATCACAAAAGAAGTCCTTAGTCTGAAATACTGACTTAGACCAATACAGACTAATACCACTAAATAAAGGGGATACATAAGTTTTAAAAATAAGCACAACTTACATTAATTGGGGATTAGTCGAATTTTCTCCCCCCTTTCAGTGCTAATCTTTGTCAGGTTGACTGTCAGGGTTTTGTGAGTTTGCAAAATGAATCTAGAAGTTTTCCATCTTTTTCAAAGTTCTGAAAAGGTTTATGTATCATGGAAAAATTCCTTAAAAGACTAAAGACCTCACCTGTCTATCAGGGTCTGGAGCCAAGTTTTGAATAAATTAAATGACAATTTAAAAATTACTAAAATTATTTCCATGGTATTGGCATCTCTTGGTTTTCTAATTCTTACATCAATTTAATGTAAAACATCTTTAACAAAAACATTTTTTAAAAAAGCTCTTGAACTAATACAGACGTGTGCAGTACTTTCTTCCATCATTTTCTATTTCAAATTTATCTATTTTGTGTTTTATTTCTTGGTTAATTTGGGTAGAACTTTGTTTTCTTGGTTATTTCAAAGAATCATTATGAGTTATCAATTTTGCTCTTCCGTATTTTCTCTTTTTAAGTTATGAAAGCATTTAGAACATCAACCTTTAAATAAATAATTGGCTTCATTCTACTGGTTTTGATATATAAGTTTCCCATTTTGCTATTTTCTAAATAATATCATTTTCAGTTTTACCTCTTTGTTGATCCAAAATTATTCAATATTTTCTCATTGTAGTAGCTGACACTTTTAATTTACCTATGAGTTATTAAATTCTAGTTTTCTTGTGCTATGGTTAGAAAATATAGCCTATGAAGTTTTGAAGTTTATCAACACATTCACTATGCCTAGCATTAGATCATTCTCAGAAATATTTACAGACACTTGAAAGCAAGGTGTATATCTTGAAAATCAACCTTGCAAATTTATTTAAATTAAAATTCAATAATTTTAACATTAAATGGGTAATTGTATGGTATATGAATTATATTTCTTTTTTTTTTTTTTTTTTTTTTTATTGGAGTCTCACTCTGCCACCCAGACTGGAATGCAGTGGCCGCTCCCGGCCACTGCAGCCTTGACCTGCTGGGCTCCGGCGATCCTTCTGCCTCAGCCTTCCAAGCAGCCGGACTACAGGCGCATGCTACCACACCCGGCTAATTTTTGATTTAGTGTAGAGATGAGGTCTCGCCAAGTTGCCCAGGCGGGTCTCGAACCCGCGGGCTCAGGCAATCCACTCACCTCAGCCTCCCAAAGGCACGGGATTACACGCTGACCCACCGAGCCCGGCATGAATTATATTTCAAGAAATACTTTAAAAAATTGTGTTCAGCTGGTTCTCCAAATATCTATTTGTACATTTATAGAGATGGGTTCTGTATTTGCTGAGCCATATTGAGACAGAAGTCAATATGTAACACAGAAGTCCCTCCGTTGTCACCTGTTTTCATAATTTATAAAACAGTCCTCTCTCTGGATTCTACTTATAGTCTTGGTCTTGATCTTAAAAAACAAACAAACAAAACCAAAACAGAAATAAGAACTAGAGGGAGCAGGGAAAGAGCAACGAAAGACCCAGCTCTGAGATGCTCTGCCCTTCAGGGTGAGGAAAGAACACTCATTCAATCCCTCTGAGTGCCAGACGTCTTCTTCCATTTTGTTCTCTTATGCACACTAGCCCCATGATACAAAGGAAGAAATGTGGCCAGGAGGCCCTTGTCCCAGCTCTGCCTGACTGAAGCCATCTTGGTTCCAGCCAAGGGAGCAGTGGATGAAGGGCAGATGCTTTTGAAATTAAAGTGGTTGGTATGGCCCTGATGTGGTCTGTGTATCTGGGACACAGGGGAGGAAATGATGAGAGGGGAACTCATTGCTGAATAAGTGTGGAGAGCTGTAGAGTTTTAAAGCATAAATTCTGCAGGAGGTGGGAAGCTGCTACTGGGACAACAGGGTCAGATGTACTGTTTCAGAAAGCTCATACTGGCTGCAGCATGAGCAAATTCTGCAACAGGCAGGGCAGGCAAGAGTTCTGGTTTGGAACTGTCTGGGTATGAAAGAACAGAGGCCCTCTCTGGGACAGCAGCAGGGGCATTATGAGGAGATGAATTTAAGAACCTTTAGGTGTGATACAGCAGGGTCAGATGACCAGCCAGATGTCAAGGGGGTAAGGACAGGAAAGAACCACAAATGACTCCTGGTTTCTGACCCCTAGACCAAGTGGACAACCGTGGGTGGGACCAGTGCTAGGAACAAAGATGATGAACTTGGGCTCAGACCCCTGCTGACTTTGAGGTACAGGTGAACCCTCTAAAGTGGTGATACCCAATAGTTAACTGGATGTACTAGTCTATAGGTTTTGAGTGAGAGCCCCCCCAACCTCCACCCCATCCAGTCCTTGCTGGCTTTCTCCTGAGGAATGAATCCTGGTTCTTGTACTCCCATAGAATGGCTGGGATTCTGTCATGAATTAACATACCAATTCCCCAAAACTACAGCTGGCCTTCTGCCAGAAGCCTCGTGCGACCTCAATTTTCCTGTGCCAGGATGCACACATCAGCAGTCAGACTGTGTATCTCTTGGTGGAGGTAGAAGCACTGAGCTCTCCCTGCTGCTCCTGCCTGATAAGCATGGAGCCTAAACACCAGCTCACCTTTATCCTCTCCCTGGAGAGAAAATAGGCAGTGGCATGAAGCACATCAGCGGCATGTGTCGAATTGTGGTAGGGATTAGAAGAATGATAATTGGCTTCAATAATTTGTAACCACGATCTCATCGTTGACTCGGAGCAGTTTAAGAATTCACAGATTCCAAAGCGAGCAAACATTTTGAGACCAAGGTAAATTAAAGGCCTATAGAGAAAAGCATCCACAATATTAAAACAAAGCAACAACAAAAAAAAAACCAAAGCGTTTTGAGCCCTGATTAGGTTCAGATCAGATCCAACAAGTAAATCTATGACAGACTTCAGGGAGCACAGGACAGCCAATAGAGATTGCTTGGGCTGTGCTGGCCTCTTTCTGTGGGAGCCAACCAACTCTGGAGAACCTTCTTCCCCTTGGGAACCAAATGCCTGGGTAAGAGCTGCCTGTCCACAGCAGTGTTGGCCTCAGCCCCCTTTGGGGGTCCCCATTTGCTGGGGGACAGTTTGCTCACTATGTCCTTCCTGGTTCAGATTCTACTTGCACTAGTGGATTCCCCAAAATAATCCTTTTTCCAGGTTAAACCTGTGCCATCTCGAACCCTACCCTCTCCGTTTGATTTACTCGATCTATGTCACTGGCCATATTATGTCCTGACTGAAGAAAATAACATGACTTGGGGACCTCACATGAGTCAGACACTGCCACATGTTGTGTGATTTCCTCAAACATCTAGAGGTGGGTGATACAGTATAAGGGTGTTTCCCTTGAGAAGGTGACCAATTAGCCACCATATCACACGCCTCCTTGCAAAGCCACATTTATGCAGCACTGAGTCTTTGACTTTGATGGTCAAGAAACTTGGTTCTGCTGTGGCAGTATCCAGAGGTGACCACAGGACCTAAATTGACCTGCCTTGGTCCAATTCACATGGATATAATATAAACCAGGTGCTCTAAGATTCCTGTGCCATGGAAGTATTCTTTTCTGCTCTCCTTGGCTGTGCTGACCTATGTGGAAGTAGGACTTATCAGAAGGTGAACTTATGGTGAGCATGAGCAAAGAGGGACCTACCTTGGGCATGGGTCACCTAGACTGAGACGAGACTTAATGAACCATTCCCGGTCAAACAGAGCATACCTTTCTTGTAATATCCTGCAGGGCAGCCCTGGTCAGAATCGGCTCTGGGAACCTCCCTTTCTTGTGTGCCCAGCCAACCACCTTTGGTTAGTAGCTGAAAGGCAAAACTTCACTGCTGTTCCCACTCTCTGTGATCAAGCCATGAGGAAGACTGGGGCTTTGGGTGTCCCTCTGCCTGTCACCAACATGGCAACCAAAGTCTAGGGCAGCACTTACCAAATGTATATGTATGTTTCTAATACATTTTGGTACTAGACTCAGAGCAGGGCTCTTTACTATTATCTTAACATTACCACCTACAGAGGAAATTAGTATCTTTATTGCACAGAAAATAGCGCTCTGCGATTTGGAGAAGTTAAGTCACCTGCTCAGTAGCACGTTTTCCAAAAATCTGCCATCTCTGTTGTGGCCAGGCAGACTCTCCCCTGGGCCCCAGTGGCTCAGAGCCACATGCTGCCCTGCTATGCCTGACTCAGCTTCCTTCTCTGACCTGGGAGCCACTCTGTGCACAAACCACACTCCTGGGTGGCCTCCTCACATGGGCATGAGAAATGCAGATCTCCACTTGCTGAGCTCCCACGCTCACCTATTGTGGGTAGCAGCCTCCAATTCAAAAATATCAAAGTCCCAATATTCCTCATTTGCCATGGCCTGAGTTATCCGTGGTGGGATATCACGAAGGGAGATGGGAGTGATTATAGTGCCTGAAGTCGGATGAACACCTGCAAAGTGATATAATTTGAAGAATAGAATTAATAAGTTTTACAGCATTTCTTAGGGAGAACAGGACTGCATCTGGATGATAGCTTTGTTTCTGAGCTTTCACAACACATTAAGTTTCTTACTGATGAAAAAATTTATTTTAAAACCATTATCTGAAAAAAATTTCATCATTTAAGCTAGATTGCAGTATTACAGTGATTCAAAAACTTAAGGAAAAACTTACTTTTTGTTGAAAGAACATATTCATTCCCTGATAGTCTTCGCAAACCATCCTGATAAAAATTGAGGAAACAAGAAAAAGGAAAGTCAGGACTATTTTCCTTTTTGAAACTCCAATGGTTGGTACCAGAGGACCTCTCCACCAATCCACTGCAAGGCTTCCCTGGATCCAGCAGGCCCAGTCCTGTGATCATCACTGTGGTCAACCACTGACCTCTATCACTTACTGCAGAGCACAGCAGCCTGATGCTGCAGGAAGCTAAACTCAGCATCAGAGCTGACATCCAGGACGGGAGCTTGCACCTGTTGGGGAGGTGGCCCCTGAGACCCAGCACTCCTTCTTGGACTCCGGTACCATTTTGGTTTCCTAAGGACAGCTCCCCTCTGACCTCAGTCCTTACCATTTTCTACCACCACCCTCACCCTAAGGACACTAGGCTTCCTTGAACACTAGATCCTCTCTCACCTTCTAAGTGACCTACTCTCCCAGCTGGCTCTCCTGGACCCCCAGTCACTGCTCCCACACCTTCTGTCACTCTTGGGCTCTCAGCAACCCCTCTTCTCCAGCACCGCAGTTATTCTCACCTTCTCACCTCCAGGACATGATCCCATCCCCTATCATTCTCACCCCTTGCTTACAGGCTGGAGGCTCCTCTGCACAGGCTGGAGGCTCCTCTGCCTCAAATAGGCAAGACCACAGTTAGATATTATCACCACTAGGAGCCATCCTACCATTTAGATTACCGCCGAAACACTTATTTCGATAAAAATTAAGTGACTTTATAAAGCAGGAATTGAGGATGTGAACTTTACTTCTTATTAAGATAGAAGTTGACAGACAGCCATGGAGTGATCTGTGCTGCACAAAGTTGTTCCTCCCTTGTGAGAGCTCTATACTAGAAGGGGTGAAGAAGGCCTTCAGGACCCCTCGAGTCTATGGCACAAAGCCCCCTTCTAGTGAAGGATTTTCAAACTCCTCTTTCCTATGAAGTCATCCAAATGTGTGTGGGATGCTTTGGAGGTGAAACTGTGCCCCATCCTCTGGCACCACTTTAAATACACATGTAACATTTAACATGCTTTTCTTTTTTCTGTCCCAGTTTTCAAAATCTTGAATACAACTAAATAACTTGTATTTAAATAAACTGTCTGTCTAGCCCTTAAGCAACACTGGAGAACTAGCTCAGCAGATTGTCTAGAATACATTCCTCCCTGTTCCGCTTCAAGCTGAGGTCTTCCTAGGAGGTAGGCAGCAGGTAGATGTTTGGCCAGAGAGCCACCAAACCCAATGGATGCAGGAGTCTAGGCCTTGGCAGAATCCTAATACAGTGCCCTGCCTACCTCTTCAAAGAGCATTGTTTAAATGAATAACCTCTGAGAAAACAACCAATAACAGATAGGCTCTAGCCAGTAGCCTGGTCAAATACACTTACAGACATTAAGCCCTCAACAAGGTCATTGGCATGAGGATCATCATCTTTAACACCGAACTGTGGTGAATATAATTCAGTGCTTCTTAGAATTTCCAGCACGCGGTCTAAGGCTTCTGTCACAGGCATGGAACTGCTTTCCTGGATAGCATTGATAATACTGATCACCTACATTATGGAAAGAAAAGAACTGAGTTTCATAACCTTAAAAACAATGAGAGAGTTGTGAGGAGTGGCATGTGCCTGTAGTCGTAGCTACTCAGGAGACTGAGGCAAGAGGGTCGCTTGAGCCCAGAAATTTGAAACATGCCTGGGCAATATAAGGAGACTCCATCTCTAAAAATCAAACAAACAACAGGAGGGCAATCCAGAGCCAGGCTGGCAATAGTACTTAATGCTAGCTTAAGCCTAGTTAAAACATTCATGTCATACAGCCTCTCTTCAGAGAGACAGCACCATACAACTATGAACGCATTCTCATTATTATAGGTCCCGTTTCTTCTCACTGGAAACAATCCTTGGAGAGAACAAGGGGCTTGTGTGCTCAATGGAGACCAACCAAAACTGCTTCACCTTCGTGATGGGTGCCTCAATCGTCATGGAATGTAACCGGGCCATGGAGGAGTGTCGTCTCTGGCTGGAAACTGTAGAGAGAGGGAAGTACAAATCAGGGCATGCACAGTCTTGGGCACCTATCCCGAGGGGCGAGGCTCAATAACCTCCCTTTCTCCCCCAGCCCCAGGGTGCTCAGCAGGTGGACTAGAGCTACATGGTTTCTGAGCTTCTTCCTCATCCTTACAAGCCTGGGATTCTGGTACAACCAAATTTGTTTCCTTCAGTTCTAGGCACTAGGATGTACATATGCCCCCATGGACTGAATTGATGTCACAGGCCAGAAAGAAAACAGAGGAAACAATCTAGCAAGCCAAGCCCAAACAGTTAGACTCTTTTCATGTCTATAACAATAAGGCTTTATAATTATTCAGCTTGCCATTCTCCAGAAGTAAAATGTTCTGGAAGACAATGCCACACAGGCTCTTTGTTTCATATATGGCAGGAACAATACATTCAACTCACCAGTAACCGAAATACATGAATTTCTGGTTAAAATTGTCAAGGCATCCTCTGGAGCTTTCTACTGTTATGCTTAATCTAGACTGATTAGGTAAATACCTTAAATGAGGTAGACAGCAACTTTTAGGCTCTAAAATATGTTAATATTTTGTTCCTGTGAAGACTTGAACAGCATTTCACAAAAGAGGATATCCAAATGGCCAGTAAGCATATACAAAGGTGCTCAACCTCATTAATCATAAGAAAGATTCAAACAAAAACCATCAGAATGGTTAAATGTAAGCTTTTCTGGTACTAGCAAGTGTGGGAAACATGGAGCAACTAGAACTCTTGCAGATCAGTGAGGAGAGAAACACGGTGCCAACCCACACTGGAGAACTCTGTGAGGCTGCCCCAGGACACAGCAATTCCACTCCTAGGTAAGAGATGGGCACATATGTCCACAAGAAATGACTTGTATAAAAACATTCTTGGCAGTCTTATTCTTAGTAGCCTCAAAGTGTCCTCGGAGGATGGATAAACAAACTATGGTATATTCACACAAGGGAATACTACTGAGCAGTAAGTAAGGAGGAATGAATTACTAATATACCTAAAAACACAGATGAATCTCAAAACATTCAACTGAGTGAAAGAAGTTGGATGCACAAGAGTGCACACTGTACGACTTCTATTTTATGAAGCATAAGATACCAAATTAATTCATGGTGCTAGAAATCAGCAGCTGCCTCTGCATGGTGAAGGTGTGTCTCTGTGTGTTTTCTGAATCTATGTTGGTTGGTGGTTACATGAGTGTACAGAATTGTCAAAATTCATCAAACTGAATACTTACTGAGTTTCATTGTATGTAAATCATAACTCAAAAAAGAATACTAAGAAACCAAAAAATTAAAAGAAAAATGTTTATTAAAAATACAGAGCTGGGCTCGGTGGCTCAGCCTGTAATCCCGCGCCTTTGGGAGGCTGAGGTGAGTAGATTGCCTGAGCCCGCGGGTTCAAGACCCGC